GTCTGTGGCTGGTGCAGGCGATTTAAAGCTGGTTCGGTTAACCATCAAAGCCACCTGTGCGTCCAAATGCGGTTACAGGCAGCATTGGGCAACGCAAGTCAAATCCCTGCGAATCCTGCCCAAAACCTTAATTCTTAAAAAGAAAGATTTTAAGGCACAGTTCCTCTCTAGCTGCGTAACTGGAGCCCCCACCAGTCCCCCAACGAGCTCAGCACCACCTACCCCTTCTCCTGATGGAAGTAAGTTTGTAACCCCTGCCAGCACCAAGGTGGCTCTGACGGAGTAAGCCGGTTTTAACCCACACTTCGATTGCACCGATGTGTAAGAACAGGCTAGAAAGAAAAGATGAAGGATACTTCAAGCCACGACATAATTTCTGATCTTTACTCTGTACATCACAGCAAATGACTGCAGGATTAAATGAAAAAAGTCTGCTGCTTAAACGTATGCTAGACAGAAATAAAGCAGGGCAAGATAGGCTAACACCAAGATAAAACCTTTTAACTGCAAGGTGAGCATATTTGATCTAGATTAGTGAGGAATTACTTAAACATGTTGAATTTTCCAACACTGTCTTTAGAGTCAACTTTCAGACTAGAGTGGTGCCGATGGCACAGCAAGCATTTGCTCACAGAAATAGTTTTTCCATGTGGTTGCTCTCTTTAGACAGAGACTATGGAGAAATGACGATGCCCTCCAGGTGAGGCTTTTAAACCACCTCAAAACCTCCCACATATTTGGTTTCCAATAAATTTTTAATAGCTCTCTTTAATGATTTGAATGTTGACTGAGCAGCAAGCTAAAGAGACTGAAGACTGACCAAACAGTAGTAGTTACTACTCAAGAAGGGTTTTCAGTGCATCAGATTCAGATTGACACGTAGGCAGCATGTCAGCTAGATCCAAGCCCCATCCGAGGATACGTCTATTAACCAGGACTCTTGTGAGCTTTGCCAAGCGGATGAGTCTGTGGATTTGGGATCCTCACACCAGCCTTTTACAACAATTAAAGAGATTGTATGTCCCTAACACAAAGGCAAATCCAGAGCAGAGCCAGTCAATGCTGTCAGCGGAATTGTTACTCTGCATGTCTAACTGAAGCATCAAAATACCTTCACTAGTATGAAAATACTCAGTCATCCCCTTCCTACATGCCATTGCTGGGAAATTACTAATTGCAATGCTGCTAGAGCAGATGATGTTAGGTCCAAGGAAGGTTAAAAAAGCCCTCATTAACAATTCATTTCAGTCTTTTTTTAGCACTCTTT